CTCACGGCTGGACGCACGCCTGTCCGAGGGTCAACTTCCTTCAACCTAATCTGCACTCCTTATGTACAGAATAAACGTTTCCTTCTGGACATCTGGTCTCCCATTTCTTTTCCCTTTCACAAGAAACCGGGTCTCAAGTTCGCAGGTGCAAAGATTTTACATCATTAACTTAATCCACTGCGATAAATATACCCGAGTTAAACCGGCAAGATGACCAGCCGTGGGGCAGTGGGTCAGCATATTGGACTTCAATCCAGCAGGTCGTGGATTTGAGTCTCAGGTAGTGCACCATCGGGGGTTAGGTATGGCTGGCTGATGAAGACTAATAAGCCAGATATGCGCACTCCAATCTCCCAGGTACTATTCATAAACCTTAATGAATGTTTCAGGCAGTTGCGAACGCTTGGCAGGCCTGGATCCTTGTCGAGAGTGTCTAAAGAGAAGAATCTGCCAGAAATCAACTAGTTTTATAGGTTTGGGGATACAGTAGTCTTGGATACCACGTCTGCGCGCGTTTAAAGGCATAAGGTTGGAGCATTTGTGGTCGTTTGAACGTACGTGTGTCTGTGCTGCATCAGATCAATGTCAAACGGGGTTGCCAGCAGTGAATTTGGATAACCCTAACGCCAAGATCTCTTTTTAAGCAGCCCAGATGATTGTCAACTGCCTACGCCACTGACTTTAGTTAGGCAGGGGGGGGGGTGACTGCTAAGTTCGTGAATGCGGGCTTTAATGCTACTGTTTGTTAATGGAATCATAAAAAGTCACCTTGCACTACTTGGAGATGGAGTTGCGCACAGATCGGGAACCAACCGACTCACTGCTACGACAAAAGAAACCTTGCAGCCGTTCCTCTGACCTGAGGCAGTTGCGAGCGAAAAAAACTGCAAAGGAAAAACTATAAACACCCGTGGATACGAATGGAGAAATGACATGGACTTGTGGGATACGATGTGGTCCGGCCAGATAATAGGCGAGAGACGTTTCCCAACATGTTTAAGCTAGTGGATAG